CTCTCTCTCTCTCTCTCTCTCTCTCTCTCTCTCTCTCTCTCTCTCTCTCTCTCTCTCTCTCTCTCTCTCTCTCTCTCTCTCAACAAACGACGGGCTGGATGTGGAAGCGGGGCGATGGCAGACGGGAAGACTGTAGGCCGCACGTGCAAGCACCCACCGGCCACTGCGCGGCGGGAAACCGCCTGTCTTTTTTTTTTTTGCTTTTTTGCTTTTTTTGCTTTTTTTTTTTTTTTGCTTTTTTTCCCCCCTCTTTGGTTTGTCCGTCCGTACACCTCGGCCAAATGGTCGTGACCTATGTCCACCTTCATACTACCGGCCTTGTCCCGACTGGGCCCGCGAGGCCTTCACGAATAAAAACTGCCGAACCGCCCCCGAGGCCCTGGGGTCGCGCCGCGTATAGGGGAAGACCCCGCGGCCGATGTCTGGCCCAGGTACTGGTGGTTTAAAAGAAGAAGCCATGGTCGTGAAAGCACCTGGATACAGAATCTGGAGAATGAGACTGTGCCCTCCGGAAGGGTGTTATAGCTTTAAAAAAAAAAAAAAAAAAAAACCAAAAAAAAAAGCAACAACGCTCTGGTCGTGAAAGCAGCTCAAAACAGAAGGACAGAACGTGTGAGGCTGCAGCCTCCGGGAGGGCATTATAGCCCCATGATTTTTTTTGCTTTTCCCCATGTTCTTTTTGCCTTTCCAAACTCAGGCGCGGCATACCTGCCAATGGACCGATGTTTTTGCTCATTCCGAACTAAAAACGTTTTCAAATAAATTTTGATTCAGTATCTGGGATCTGGTTGTGGGTTCCTCAGACAATTGAGGCTCCAGGCTGCTAAAATACTTTTCCAAACTTTCGGCTTTAGCTGTCTCTGACAGAGTGAATCTATCACCAAACACAGCCGTACATGTTCCGGTTGCGCCAGAGACCACTCCTGCATGAGTATATATTCTGCCATCAATGTCCAGAACTTATCAAGCGCTTCAAGCATCACCAAGATAGGTCATTTTATCACTAGGGCAAGGTTCTGCTGGCGCGGGTCAAGGATGCCTAAGGTAGTTCCCCCTGATCTCTGGGGAAGGCTATGGTTTCCCAGGAGACTTTTACCAAGTAGCCTTGGTGGTCTGTTGCTCAGGGTTTTGAGTAAGCTTCATCCCCCAAAAGGTGCACTAGGGGAAACCATAACTTCGAGAATGCAGCCGAAGTCAGAACTAGCGCCCTTCCAAAGATGGATAATTCGAAGTTTCTGGCCCACCGCTGAGACCTTTTCATGAGAAGGGCATACTGGGCATTAGAACCATCTGAAAGGGACACTTGGACCCCCAAAAAGCCGTCCGTTTCTTCGGATTTTGGACAGGCTGACAGCTATCCAATTTCTCTCCAAAATCGACGGCGATGGAGCGGCACCCAAACCTAAAACCTTCATTTATTTTTATTTTTATTATTTTTCTTTTTATAAAAGCTATGTTCTTCTCTCAATTTCACCTCACACTACCTACCTACCACTACTCCTAATTGTAGGCATACGGGGAACCCCGTAGCAGCCAGAACCCTGTTCACGAGAGAACATGCGGGGGCTGCTCCCGACCTGCAGGTGGGCGACACCGGCTAGGGGACAGCCGGTAGCATCCGGGACCATGCCAACAGGACCGATCCCTGTGCCTCCCCTCAAAGGCAGGTACTGGTCACCTTGTTCCCTCTTTTCGGACTGTGTCGCTCGCGCCACGCTTCGCGGCAGCGCAACAGGAAGGCATTTTTCGGTTCGTCAATTTAGCTTCAGATGGACTGGCGCGGTTCTGGCCTTTTGTTCAGACGGACGACGTTTCACGCCGGGCCACGAGTTGAGAGAGGGCCCAACGGGAAAGAAGAAATGGGGACTTGCCACTGGCTCAACAGTGCCCACGTCTGCGGACGAGTGAACGAGTGAAATCTACGGCTCAACCTTCAGTGCCTTTTTTTTTTTTTTTTTTTTTTTTTGAAAGAGCACACATGAAATTTACTCAAGAAAAAAAAGGAGTAGGGATCGTGTTCTTTTTACCCTCTCTCTGGCTGGGTTTGGTATTGGTTTGTTGTTATGACTGGGTACGTCAGACTGAGATAAGCTAAACCGGCTGATGCTGCGGGGATAACCCCGGGGGCACGGTTCCACTAGCAACTGAGTAAGGTATATTGTGACACGGCGACACCTGTGGGACGTCCGGGGGACATCCACCAGCCGTTGCTGCATCCAAATCCTAGGGTAGCAAAATAAAGATGTTTGTATATTTAAAATTTGTGTTTTAATTTACTTTTTCTTGTTTTTTTTTTTTTGGTGAATAACAGGATGTGGGGAAAAGAAATACCAAGTCTGTTTTTGATTGGTGGTTGTAGAAAACAAAAAAAAAAAATCAAGTACTCTAAGTCGTTCGTATTGACGGTGCCCCTCGAGTACTTTATTTCTTTCTCAAAATATAAGGACTTCACACTTGAACATGGGAACCGTCACAGGAGGCAGTCCCGTCGGGCACACTAAGGGACTCCACTCCCTCTCTGTGGTACGTGAGACTCGGACTGCAATCGTCACGGAGCAGTTTTCATAGGTGCACCCTCAGGCAATAAAGAAAGATGGAAGAAGTGAATCTGGCTACTCATCCACTGTCCATTCTACCTTTCCAGAAGATGGCACAGCCTTTTGCATCACTTCCAAAGGTCGGGCTCGTTTCCACCTTGGGACTTGAGAAGTCACCACTTTAATTTTCTTTTTTCTCTTTTCTGCGTTTTTCTGGAGTTTTCTTCGTTTTTCTGGAGTGTCGCAGGCGTCACACTAGGCCATGACTCGTGTGCTAGTGGAATCGTGCCCCGGGTTGAATTGTGAGGTCCCCGGCCTCGTATTCATTCATTGGAAATAAGTAGTTGTCTTTTAAAAAAAAAAAAAAAAAAGGAGAATTTACTCATGAAAAGGATAGGGCTCGGTCCAACCTGCGCATTTTCGGTGTTGGAGGCTACCGCGAAGAGAATGGCGGGCGGCCAAGGACCATGGATTGACACAATCGATGGTCCCTAGACGCCCGCCAGTCGCTTTGTGGTAGCCTCCTACGACGGGAAGGCGAAGGTGGGACCGAGCCCCGGACTGGGAGCATTACCCAGCTTCGCTTTTTTTTTTCTTTTTTTTGGTCAGAACAGATACTACACTTGATATTAGCCCAAAGGGCGAGAAAGGTATAGCTTCGCTTTTTACAGGACCCATAGCAGTGCTATTTTTTTTAGTTCACCACTCCCGAAAGTTTCAGTGTGATCACGATCGTGCCAGAGCAAGGTTGACGGAGATGGCAACCAGGATGGAGATGGTCATCTCCCTCGCTGGTTACGTCCCGAGCATCGGGCTCAGCCAGCCCGAGAGGGATAAAGTGAGAGATGTTAGAGTCCGAGGATTCATGCGCATGCCGACCGGGTAAGCCGCGCGGGGAGCTTGGAAGACAGAGAGCGAAAGGTAGAGCAGAGAGGGAGGGGAGGAAAGGGTATCAGTCAGGGGTCTCCTGCGAGAGACCTTGCGTTGCTGTCCAGAAGAGAAGACGAATGGATGGATAGATGAATTGTGTGGAAGGAAAGCGACCCTAAAGTGGGCAGAACTGTTCGGTAGTTGCTTGTTGGCATTACGGGATAAGAGAGAGGATGCGTAGAAACCTCGGTAGTGAAAAATATGGCGAGATGAAGGCAGCCGTTGTTGGGGGTTGACGACCCAGCCGATGACGTATGAGAAGAAATGAAACTGTTCAGCAAGTTGGAAGTTCAAAGGCACAAGGGGCTAAACTCGTTGGGTAGGGGGAAGAGGGTCTCTTGCTTTTTTGATCAGTTTAAAGTCACAAGGGGCTAGACTCGTTGGGTAGGGGGAAGAGGGTGGGGCTCTTGCCCCTTTGATCAGTTTAAAGTCACAAGGGGCTAGACTCGTTGGGTAGGGGGAAGAGGGTGGGGCTCTTGCTTTTTTGATCAGTTTGGGGACAAGAAAAAGGGAAGAGATGAATGGATAGATAAGGCTGGGTAGGAAGAAGCCGAAAGAGGGGGGTGGAGGGGAGGAAATGGGGGGTCGCAGTATAGGGAGAATTTACCAACCTGTAAGGGGTGTTTCCAGGATAAAATCTCGATGCGTCCGTGGATTTGGGCTTTGATGACGATGAGCACATGTCCCCTTGCCATGTCCACAAGTAGCTGCGGTCCCACCTCCAGCATTCTGACGTCGGTCACATTCACTCGCGAATGTAGGAGCCGACGACACCCGCCGCACACGCTGCCCCCAGGCGCCGTCACCTTGGCAATCTCTCTCTCCCTGTAAATGATCACGGATGAGAGGTTGGCGAAACCTAGACCCACCCAATTAGGGTTTTCGATAGCGAAGACAACATCGAAACTGAGATCGAGAAGCACACGGGGCCGCAGCTTACCTGGCTCCCACCTGCGGTGTGCGGCAATGCTATGCAGATGGAAATCATCCACTTGTACGCTCGGACGAGAGCCCTGGGCGAGTGAAAGAAGATGGTGAACGAAGAGACAAAACAGCGCAAACAAGCATATCTTCCAGAAGAGTGGAAATAGTGCACGCCCGCCTTCACCTGTCTCGCTGCCGCTCCTCTTACCCGAAGGCGATCCGTTTCGCCTCCTTGCCTTCTTCTCCTTCTTCTTCTTTTTCTTCCCCTGTTTCACCTCTTCCTCCTCCTTTCTGCCGCAATGGATGCACCGGTGCCGTTTTGTAGGTATTTCCCGCTCCACCTTTTCGACGTCCTCGTCCTCGTCGCCGCTCTCGTCACCCGGTTTGTGCTCCGTGCATCTGTGAGGTTCGCCCTCCCGGTAATGGGGATCATAGAGGAAGGGGGGGTACAGCTGAGGTGCTACTGATGGGGGTGGCGGATAAACCCCAGTCGCCGACCAGTGTCTGCTCGCTGTTTGCGAACTGTGACTGCTGTCTGCAACTGGTCTTCCGCCTGTCCTTCCTCCTCCTCCTCCTCCTCCTCCTCGTCCTCCTCCTCCTCCTCCTTCTCCTTCTCGAGATGCTGACGGGAGATGGCTTCCAGCTAACCAGTTGCCAATCCTGATTGGAACACACTGTTTTGCATCCAATCGTCCCCCATGTTGCGGCTGCTGCTGAGGATAAGCAAGGCTGTATTCAAGGAGGCGTCGCGGGTCATGGCTATGAGCAGCAGCGTTGGCGACAAGAGCAGGACTAAAAGAAGGGTGACAATGAGGAGGTGGCGGTGGACAGAGAGAACAAGCACACTGCTGCGCAGTCCTCCTTCCCTCTTGTCTCTCTCTGGCGAGCACGCTTTCGCAGGGGATGTGCTTGCCGTGCATTGTAGAGCCACGTGGACCGGTATTTCTTTTGCGAACAAGTGTTGATTGCTCTTTTTCCGGCTTGGTCAGTTGAGTTCAAGTTCATCGGATGGGGTAATCAGTCGATGGGATACACACCAACCAGCTGCTAGAAGACAAGTGTCTTCTGCACCAGGCGTTTTTCACTCTATCACTCCCGCGGATGATCGTGGCGACCACCCCCTTGCCCCCCCATACTTGGGGTCATCTACGCCGAAGGAAGTTCTAGTGTGAGTATCCCCTCGAAGGAAGTTCTAGTGTGAGTATCCCCTCGAAGGAAGTTTTAGTGTGAGTATACTCTCAGTGTTGGGCACTCGCTTCGCAATTTGATTTTCCGGTGGAGAGTTTGCAGCTTGCGCAGTTAATGAATGAGTGGGTAAGAACTGAAGCCCGTAAAAAAAAGTGGACAAGGTCATGGAATATCAATCTCGAAAAAAGTACCTGCCTGGCTTACAGTATTGCTATTGCTATATTATCATATTATTATGCTGTTAGACCAATCGACTCTATCTTGCAATGCCCCTGAGATTGCTCGGGTGAAAGTGGACCGTAGGTATGCTAGTGGGATGGTCGCGGAAGATCATCCGTGAAGATTCATCACCGGGCATGTCGTTAGTCGTAGAGAGGCGTTTCCGTGCGTGTGGCGAAGCGAAAATCGACAAAGCACTGCAGAAAAAAAAAACGATGAAATCGCGCGGTGAAATCTCGACGGCACGTCGATGGCTTCGGTCTCCTCCCGCTTTTTTTTTCTATATCGCGCGTGGTGTCTACATGCCAGTCAATCTGAGGCGGACACGTGGCGCTATGGCGAGCGCGAGTTTGCTGAACAGACAACAGAGGGGCGATTTCCTTATTTTGCTTCTTTTTGTTCTGTTTCTTTGGCCCAGGGCAGAGCTGCTCATCGGACAATCACTGGCCGATGGCCATTGTCTCTTCTTTAGATATTCCGTATGTAGCGATGGAAGAGCGTGATGTTATGAAGTAGTACTTGGCTGGTTGATAGTCTACTCGTTCGACCTGCAGTAGAGAAGGACTTGATTCCGTCTTTTCTGTCGGACGTGTGCACTGAATGCACTTCCCCTAAGGGAGATCCGGAGGCTACCTAGCCTGCGGATGACGCTGCATTGCCGTTTGAGGGATGATGTCGAGAATGATTAGCCAGACACAGCAATCAGTCGAGATTGAATGGATGGATAAGAGTGCTTCAGTTCATCTATCGAATCGATGAATGCCATCTCTGGCCGGTAATGAGCGTGAGCAGCTTCCCATGCCACGTGGATCCTGTTTGTCTGGAGTCTCTCGTCTCACCCTACCTGCGCCTCTCTCTCCTAAATCGCTTCTGAAACTATGGGGCTCGCCACACCACTGTCGAAAGCCTGAAAATTTCGATGGCTGTCACGAGAAATTCGACAGCCCCCCTTGCCACAGTTCCCCCCCCTCCCCTTGGCCGCCACTCAGCACTGTTGACATTCTCGACAGTTGTCAGATGATATCGAGAGAGTAGTGTCGTGTCCAGAGGTTTGGGCCCTTCACCACACCACCTTTGCAAGTGCCCGCTCTCGAATCGATATAGGGACTTGCCACACCACTCTCGAAATGTGAAAAAGACAAAACTGTGGCGGGTGCATCTGGCCGTGTTCTAGCGGGAAGTTCGTTCTCATTTTGCACATTTCGAGAGTGGTGTGGCCATGCCCATAGGGTCTCGCTGCAGCTGCACTACTCGTTTGCCCCCCTTGGCCACACAGCACTGTTGACATTCTCAGGAGTTGTCAGCTGATTTCGACAGTAGTGTCGTGTCCACAGGCTTGAGCTCTTCGCCACACTACCTCTGGAACTGCCTGCTCTCGAATCCACGTACAGTCTACACTACTCTCCACTCTCGGAAAAATAGCAGAGTGCGTGGAGAGCTGAAAAACTCTCCGAATTCGTGATTTTTGGTTTACTGCGGCACTAACTCTCCACTCTCCGAGACTCCAATTCGTGAGTGCACTAGCAGACATGGTGACCGCACTGGAGACATGGCGTGATCTGCATTTTGGGCATCGTTCTCGAAATGTGCAAAATGAGAATGAACTTCCCGCTGGAACATGGCCAGATGCACCCTGCACATTTTTGTCTTTTTCACATTTCGAGAGTGGTGTGGCGAGGCCCTTTGTCTACCCAGACTCTAGGCACACTCGCCGAATTCGGAGCAACTTGGACAGTCAGATGGATGATGCACTAGCAGACATGGTGACAGGGCTGGAGACGCTGCCTGATCTGCGTTTTGTCTGCCCAGACTCCAGGCACACTCTCCGAATTGGGAGCAACTTGGAGAGTCGGGTGGAGGTGGAGGTGGGGGTGGGGGTGGAGGTGGAGGTGGAGGTGGAGGTCCATCCGAAAAACCACAGTTGCAGGCTGGGCACTGTCCATCAGCGGAGAGTGCTTTTGGAAGGTGGTTTCTGACCGCTATCGGAAGGTTTTCAGGGGTGAAATCGGATAGTTAGCGCAACGATAAAAAAAGTCTCCCAATTGGGAGAGTGGAGAGTAGTGCAGCGGGACCCATGCATAATAAAATCAATGAATCTAATCAAATTGATTTGTCACTTGTTCTGGCAGCTCTCTAAAAGAGAGTGGTCTTGGAGGGCCAGCAAGAGCACTCTCGAGATCGAGGTCGCTGCTGACAGACTGGCGCGTGGGAGGTGTATTCGGGAGGCCCTCTTGAAAAGAGATACCTGACACCCCACTAGTTCTTTCTCTCATCCGATTTTGAGAGGCTGTGTGGCCATACACAACCTCTCCAAAACAGAGTGGTGTGGCGAGGCCTGAAGTGGCGCATGGAAAGAAACGAACCCGGCTGAGGATATACAACCAGGATTTGTCTGACCCAACCTCGGTCCCACTCACCAACTTTGGAGGAGAACTGGATAGCTCCGTCGAGGATTGCTAAAATGTCAAAGGGTCTCGCTCCACTACTGTACACTCTCCGAATTTGGAGAGTTCGGCATTGCTCCACTTACTGTACACTATGCACGTGCCAAATAGCTTGGATAGCTGTCAGATATGGGTCGGAGATTGCACTCTCCGTTGGTGTATAGTTCCCAGCCTGCAAAAGTCGTTACTCGGATACTCCTCAAAGGAAACCACAGACCCGCTGCGTTTTTGTATGGTGAACCTCAAGTCTGGACGGACAAATTGCTGTCTTCTGGTGCTGTTAGGGTGTTGCGTAGTGAACTCAGAAACTGGAGACTTTGTATAGCAGATAGTAAGTGGAGCGACGCCGGGTTCTATACATTTTTTCGCGGTCTGACAGCTATACGGCAACTATACGAAATTGTGTATAGCGGACAGTAGTGGAGCGAGACCCTTTGGGTCTCGCTCCACTACTATCTGCTGTACGATTGCGGATAGTGGGACACCGCTCCACTTACTATCCGAAATGTACCTTCTTTAAAAAAAAAAGAAAAAAAAAAGTGCCTTCGGAAATCACCGTGTAGTTGTCAGATGGTGCCCTCCAGATTCACCATAGGCTCCCGTATAGTTCCTAGCCTGCAAAAGTCGTTACTCGGAGGGTGGTCCATGGAGGTTGGCGTATGGTGCATCTGGAGTCGGGACCGACAAATTGTTGTCTTGTAGTGCTGTTAGGGTGTTTTGTAGTGAACTCGGGAATTGGAGACTTGTATAGCAGATAGTTAGTGGAGCCATGCGGGGTTTTATATACGGTTTTTTCACGCTCTGACAGCTGTACGGCAACTGTAGAGAAATTGTATATAGCGGCCAGTAGTGGAGCGTGACCCAAAGTTGCAGGCTGGGGATGCAACTTAGGAAAGGAGGTGTGGAAACCTTTTCTCTGACAACTTGCCAAGTCTACTCCCATGTCAGGTTTCCAAAGGCTGTGTGGCGAGCTGGAACTGTAGAAATTCTCTTTTTCTGACAGTGATGTGGAAACTTTTTCTCTGACAGCTTGCCAAGTCTTCTCCCATCTCAGATTTCCAAAGGCTGCGTGGCGAGCTGAAAGTGTAAAAATTTGAAATTCCCTTTTTCGACAGTGGTGTGGCAAGCCCCTATATCCTCTATCCCTCCCACTTTTTCGGCAATGTGCACACTACCAGTAGCAATACTGGACGTAGGTATATGGGCATGCATGGCTGATGTGTCCATGATTTGTGGCAAGGAAGGAGGATAGTGGGACCAACAAGCGTATCTCAGTCGGTACGCTCAGGAACTGTTGAAGCGTAGACCCAAGTTCGAATCCAAACACCGTCAGATGACCAGAATAAAAGTATTCTGAATTACCTGGGGGCAGTCAGTTCAACGATTTTTTTTATTATTTGTTTTTTTTGTAAAAGGCTAATTCTCTTTAAGCCCAACCAATACAAATACCTGTAAAATCTGGACAGGACGGCCTTTCAGGGTGTTTTAGTATTACGGGAACCCCGTAGCAGCCAGCCCAAGTTCAAGCCTCCAGCGAGGGCTGCACCGGACCTGCAGGTGGGAGATACCGGCCAGGGGTCAGCCAGTAGCATCAGGACCGAGCTTCTTCTATGGGCCAGTCGCTGGGCCTCCCCTCCAGTGCCCTCCCCCTACGAACATCAGCAGTCTCTGCTCAATGGGACCAACGGCCTATCTCTAGGTGGTGGGTGCCAAGCTTGCCCAGGAAGGTAATTCTGAAGACTGTTGCCTTCAAAAAAAAAAAAAAAAACGAAGTGAAAAAAGGGAAGAGAGGTAGAAAGCTATGCTTGCAGGGGTCCCCTGTATAGCATTAGGAGTAGTGGTAGGTACGTAGTGAAAGAAAGATATGTTCCATGATGACATGGCAGAAAGACAGTTAAAAACATATGTGAGGTGAGAGAAAAAGATGGCTGTCCCCCGATGAGGAGAAGGAAGCTTACAAAACTAAAAAAAAAAAAAAAAGTGAAGGAAATGTGGAAAAGGGTACCAGCTTTTTACGATCTCAAATTATACCATACTGATTATATTGATTTAATTTAAGACTATTCATTCATTCATTCGTGAATGGCCACTATTTTTGTTTCCTATCTCTGTACTTTTATCTGCAAACAATAATAAGCCTTAGGAGTAGTGGTAGGTAGGTAGTGAAGGTGAATTGAAAGAATCTGAAAGGTGATGAAAGATTTGAGAGAAGAATTCAGTGCAAGAAATACGAGTGGGAATGATATACAAAAAGCCAAGTTGCGGAATCACACAGATGTCCAAGTAGTCGTGTACAAACAGAGCACAAATGCACCGAGAATCCATCCAAATAAGAGCAATACAATGAAGTAATGAGCCAATGTTCAAGCCCTCAAACCACACCAACACAGTATCCAAAGTAGCTCCTCTCTGTCTGGCACCCAGCGCCCATCCTACTGTACTCAACTATCCTACCTACAGCTGTGTTCACGCAACAGGCTCACTTCGACTTTTGAAGACCAATGTACATGATGTCAACACCATAGCCGACCCCTCTCATGCACCAGGTATGTATCTCGTCTCCCCTCATCAGACCC